GGGGGGGGGGGGGGGGGGCGGGGGGGGGGGGGGGGGGGGGGGGGGGGGGGGGGGGGGGGGGGGGGGGGGGGGGGGGGGAGGCGACGGAGGTGTACGAAGGACGAAGCGAGCTGCGAGATCCGCCGGCTGAGGGTAGTTATTATAATAAATTTGTCGGGGGTTTAAGAAGCGGAAACAATTCAGAACTGCGAGCGACTCTAAGGATGTGCTTATCGTTGCTTTTATTCAAATGGAAGTGGAAGGCGACGAGCTGCAACGGATGCGACCTGTATCTGCGTTCTTCTGTTTCTTTCTCTCTTTCTTTCTCTCTCTACCTTATCCTAACCCCTCACGATATTTCCTCCGTATTTGCACGGCGTTCCGTCTCCTTCGAGTTCCTCCGTCGGTGTCCTTCTGTTTTTCTCCGAAGTGACTAACTGAGGCGAGAGAGAACGCGTGAGTGCGACTCGACGAATGGCGACATCCTTGCTCTTTAGTTAACGTTCCTTTCGTTCCCAGCTCGCATCTCGGGCGAACGCTCGAGAAATCGATTGTTTCGCTGGCACTCATCGAATGTTTCCTTTAACTTAACGTTAAACTTAATTTCTTTCATCGCTACGGACATCTCCAATATACATGCTCTTAACATTTATTCGGTAATCTATACGGAGCGTCTGAATTTAGGTCCAACCGCTATTATCATTTCGTTTTTGTTTTAATTGTTTTAAAATTTGTTTTAAATCGCGCATTCAAAAACGCAAATTGAAGCTTCGCATTACAAATTCAAACCAAGCTTTTCCATTGCTTTTTAACTAGTTTAATGTCCACTTTAACGGAAACATAAAAACAATGTCACACAAAGACAATGTCTTTCGTATAGTTACACGATTACGTTATTTGATATTTGTTCCACAGAAGGACGATTTCATGTGCATCAAAAAGCGCGATAATTTCTTCTTATCGACAGTTCTTGTCTCAAGTCGCTACGACGTTCACAAATGGAGTTATTGACGTTTGTGTCGATCCGCGCAATCGGTCAGCGTTAATCTTTTCGCTGTGGGGCAGGTCGCGGCGCGACGTGTGAGCGAAAACAAGGGCTGCATTCCGCGAGGCTTTTTTGGGAAGTGTGTGCGTGTGTGTATGTATACATATATATATTTTCTCTATGTTAAAAGTTTAAATATTCATATTGAAAAACCAAAACGATAAGAATGTCCAGAGCCAGGTACATGTCCAGGCATTGATACTTTTATCTTACTCGGTCCAGCCTTCGTATTTCCGAAGGTTTAAAGACTCGACGTGTTTCACGCCGAAGTAATCGAGATAGCCCGCAACAGCGTGGCAAGATAAAGAGATAAAGAGAACGCCCGGTTCAAGGAACGGATGCCCACGAAAAGGGGTAAGGCTAGACCCGTGTAGACGCCAGCTCGATAAGCGGGAGACCATAAGCGCGCTCTAACATGCGTACCACGCGGATTCCGTGCGTCTTTCCGGGCTCGCGTTAATGACCGTGCTCGCACGAGGATAAGAGGCAGTGAAACTCGGGACGTTAAAGTTTAAGCGCGCCAACCGGTAGAAGAGAGACAGAGAGAGGGAGCGCGGCAGAGCGAGGAAAAGGGAACAGAGACGAATCATCCCCGCGGACCACCCTGATCACGACCCTGTTTACGACATTCTTGACAGCGCGATCCCGATCATTACGGCGCGACGAAGGAGAACATCGCGCGCCTTTCGAGAGGGTGACTGGGAAATATAAAAACGATGGTTCCTGTAGCGATGTAAGAGAGGGAGGAGGGGGGAGAGAGAAAGTTCTCCAAGAACGAGGCGAATCGTTCGGACGGAGATTTTGTCCTGCTTCGCGTCTGTATTCTTTTAAGAGCGCGGCCAACAGATAGTTTAGGGCCGCAATAAAGACAGTCCCCGGTGCTTCGATTTACGACTTAATTAAAAACGCGCGGGCCCCGAGACGCCACGAAAACGCCTCGTCGTCGTTGAGAAGTGGGGGGCCCGCGCGCTTCCCTAAAGTCCTTTAAATACGATCTTGGCTCGTACGGGATACTTCCTTTATGGAAGCACGGTTGGATTTTTTCGGCCAGCTGATAAACAGGCTCTTCTTGGGCCAGAAGTGACGCTGCTTCCCTCTCGTCCTCGCTCTTGCTCTCGCTCTTTGCAAAGAATCCGCGCGCGCCGTGGTCCCCGACGTTCTGCTACATGGAAAAGCGAGAGCCGGCGAGTGGTATCGGCCGCGGGGTTCTTGCAACTTTTGCAGTCTCATAACGAAGATCACGAGTGTGATACAAGCCGCGATAATTGGACGTTTCGGGAGATACGCGGAAATTAAGGGACTCCGGCCACGCTTCCCGTGTATCGCGTGGCTCTCTCTCTCTTTCTCTTTCTCTCACGTGGTTTCTTCTC